TCCCTTTCAAATCTATGATACTATATCTGTGTGTGTGAATCATATCTATCTATCTATCTATCTATCTATCTATCTATCTATCTATCTCGATGGCTGGATGGCTGTTTGTCAGGACTTTGATTACGTTTTCTTGCCCTGATGAAGGGAGTTTGATTGGATGGCCTTAAGTAGTTTCTGTTGGTCATAGGAGTTCTGTGTGTGAAGTTTGCCCCTATTCTGTCCTTCGTGGGGTTCAGAATGCTCTTTGATTGCAGGTGAACTGTGAATTCCAGTGACTACAACTCCCAAATGTCAAAGTCTATTTCCCCCAAACGCCATCTATGTTCATATTTGGGCATATTGAGTGCTTGTGCCAAGTTTGGTCCTGATCCATCATTGTTTGAGTCCACAGTGCTCTCTGGATGTAGGTGAACTACAACCCTAAAACTCAAGATCAATGCCCACCAAACCCTTCTAGTGTTTTCTGTTGGTCATAGGAGTCCTGTGTGCCAAGTTTGCTTCAATTCCATCGTTGGTGGAGTTCAGAATGCTCTTTGATTGTAGGTTAACTATAAATCCCAGCAACGACAACTACAGTTCTTGCAGACTCGTGGCCATTGCATCTTTGACAGAATCTTTAAATTCTGTAAAGAGTTTGAGCAGACCACAAGTACCATTCAATCCAAGCCCCTGCCATGCAGGAAGGTACAATCAGAGCATTTCCAACAGGTGGCCTTCTAGCATCAGTTAAAAAAAACCCCAGTAAAGAAGTCTCCCAACACAATTGGATTTAGAATAGTCCACTGATAAACAACTCTCACAATCAGGACATTTTTAACCTGCAAATTACATTGAGCAGGTGTACCTGAGTCCGAAAACCAAGGATAGACTGGAGATTGTGTTAGTGTACTGTCCACCCCACTGCCTAACAGACACCCTGGCCGAGGTCACGGAATTGGTCTCAGAGGTGTTGTTACATTCACCCAAACTTTTGCTTCTGGGTGACTTTATCATACCACTGAAGACCAGTTTGTCAGGTGCAGCTCGGGAGTTCATGGTATCCATGACAAACATGGGCCTATCCCTGTTGGTTTCAGGAACAACACATTCGGCAGGTCATATCCTTGATGCAATTGTCACCTCAGAACATACAGATTTGTGGGTGGAGGTGATCAATACTTCCGAGTTGTCATGGACAGATCACTTTCTGGTCAGGGCTAGTATCATAGCTACAACCTACCCCTGCAGGGGTGGAGGACCTATTAAAATGGTTTATCTTCGAAGGTTAATTGATACTTTAAGATTCCAGGAGAAAGAAACTATAGTTGGACCACCTCTTAAGCCCTCCCTGGATCCCCTCTACCTTAATAATTACAGACCAGTGTTTAACCTTGCTTTTTTGGGTAAGGTGATTGAGAAGGCAGTTGTCCTCCAACTCTAAACAGTCTTGGATGACATACACTTCCTTGACTATTTTTAATTTTATTTATTTCAAACATTTGTACCCTGTCCTTCTCAACCCCCGAGGGGAGACTCAGGGAGGCTTAAAATCGGCAGCAATTCGATGCCAACACACACACCATAACAAAATAACACAGATTCAACATTAATGAAAACATTAATTAATAAAATAGCCATTTAAAACATTTAAAACATTATTATCACAATAATAATATAACTGCATCCAAGTTCAATTGAGAGACCCAATCCAAAGCCTGTGCATTATCAATTAAAATATAACATTGCAACTGCTGTTAGGCCTGTTACCCAAATGCCTGGTCCCAAAACCATGTCTTGAGCTTTTTCTTGAAGGAAAGGAGAGATGGAGCCGATCTGATTCAGACTAATTCAAACTGGTTTCAGATCAGAATACGGAGTTGAGGCTGCTATGGTCACCTTAGTGGATTATCTCTATCTTAACACCAACAGTGTTAGTGGCCTTTGATACCATTAACCATGGAATCCTTCAGGAATGTCTGGAGTGGCTTGGAATCGGAAACACTGTGCTGCAGTAGTTCTGGTCATACCTCACAAGTGGTTTCCAGATCATGGTGCTTGGGGATAGCTGCTCCTCTAAAAAGGAGCTGCTGTGTGGCATCCCACAAGGTGCCATTCTGTCCCTAATGCTCTTTAGTATTTACATGAAGTCGCTGGGAGAGATCATCCATAGACATGGGGCAAGATGTTGTCAGTATGCTGATTTTTTGGTTGTGTCAGGAGTGACTTAAAAAACTGCAAGTTGCTTCTGGTGTGAGAGAATTGGCCTTCTGCAAGGACGTTGCCCAGGGGATGCCCGGATGTTATTTTTGATATTTTTACCATCCTTGTGGGAGGCTTCTCTCATGTCTCTGCATGAGGAGCTGGAGCTGATAGAGGGAGCTCATCCACATTCTCTGCGGATTCGAACCTGCGACCTGTCGGTCTTCAGTCCTGCTGGCACAAGGGTTTAACCCACTGTGCCACCGGGGGCTCCACAATATGCTGATGACACCCAAATATATTTCTCCATGCCTTCAAAAACAGCCTCAGTTAAGAATAGGATGCCTCCTCTGAATGAATGCTTGGAGGAGGTAATGGGCTGGATGAGCAAAAACAACTGTAAACTGAATACAGACAAAATAGAGATGCTTGCCATCAAGGGCCCTAATATGGGGATGGTGGTATGTCAACCAATTCTGGATGGGGTTACATTCCCCCTGAAAGACTGTTCCATCTCTCCAGATGTCATCCCAGGTTGATGCAATGGTCAGGAATTCTTACTATCAGCTTTGGTTGATACACCAGCTGCATCCCTTCCAAGATTCAGAGGACCTCAAGATGGTTGTGCATGTGCTGGTAACCTCAAGGTTGGACTACTGCAATGTGTTTTTCATAGGGCTACCTCTGTACCCAGTTGGGAAACTCCAATTAGTTCAAAATGCAGCAGCCAAATTGGTCACATATGCTCACCTTGGAGTGAGCATATTATACTTAGATTAAAGTCACTCTACTGGTTGACAATTAGTTTCTGGGGAAAATACAAAGTGCTGGTTTAGACCTTTAAAGCCCTTGCGGTTCAGGTCCAGATTTCCTAAAGAATCTCCCATACAATTTGTCCCAGACACTGAGGTCCTCTGGGGGGTGTCTGCTCCAGCCTGTCAGAACATGACTGGCAACTGCCACCCAGAGGACCGTTTCATTGACCGCCCCAGGACTGTGGAACGACTTCCCGATAGAGCTCCGACAGTTAGATCAGCTGTCGGAATTCAGGACACAAGTGAAGACCTTTCTCTTCCAGCTGACCAACCCAGACAGTTTTAATGACAACTTTTAAACTTAACTTCTATGTCTAATTTTTGTTTTGTGTGTATGTATTGTATGGAAATATGTTTTAATATGTGTATTTTACAGAGTGTTTTTCAATGATTGTGTGTTTTGAGTGTGTGTTTCAGCAATGTTGTTACCCGCCTCGAACCGTTGAGGAGAGGTAGATAAGAAATATAATTATAATTATAATTACTATTATTATCCCAATTAGTTTAAGGATGGCATGTAGCCACCCCCCCCCCCCCCCCCCCCCCGGGAAAGCCTGGTGTTTCTGGATAGGAGTAGGGACAGAAATATATGCCAACGCAGATCTCTGCTGTCTGGAAGCACTCTTTGTTTCTAAGGAGAATTCAGACTCTTCCTTTGTGAGAAATTTGTTATTGCAAAAAGTTGGTCTACTTTGATAAGGGGTGAAGGAAGATAATCATCCCGATCTTCAAAGGATTTCTAAGCAATTCTAGCAAAAAGATGAAAGACTGTGAAAGATTAAATATATAAGCTTTGGATGATTAGGGTTTTTCTAAATCTAGGGCTGTAGATGTTAAAGTAGTTTTAAGTAGCACGATCAAATTGGATTTTAAAGCATGACCTAAAATGTATTGGATCACATCCAGTTACAACATGACCTAGCCTCAACACCTTTCACGCTTAGCCTAACATTGGTCATATTGGCAATAAATGTTGGTTCATTCTGATGGCTATTGAACTTTTAGTTATTCGTTGGACTGTTGGCTGTTGAACTGTTAGTTATTGTTTAAACTCTGGGCTAGTGGATTGATGAGAACATGCCCTTTTCCTCCTCTTCTCATTTTATGCAGTATGTGATTCAGATCGTGTTTGTAGCCCTCATAAGCATGGTGGTCAAATTGATGTGACCTGCTTTTTAAAAACGTAATTCTGGACATTTTATTTATAATGACACAACACAATGTAATTTAAAAACAAAGCAAATGCATATACCTATGTATACAAAAATAAAAAACAATTAAATATTACTGTCATCAATACAAAAGTTAAAATACAATTAAAATTACATTTAAAAGCTAAACATCCCACCAAATCCCACCCACAACATCACCAGCACCAGTCCATTCACCAATAATCTAACTTGTTCAAATGTGGATTTCATGCACACAAGCTTCTTCTAGATTAGATGTTTATGTCATGTCTGATCTTATGTACATGGTACAGGCACAGGGTTAAGAACCCAAATATATTATTTTTGGACTGTATCTCCAACTATATTTGACAACAGATTTGTCTACAGCTTTCCCAAAACTTGACTCCTCTGTGATTTCAATTGGACCACAAGTCTTGTAAATATTTGAACCTGGTCTAAGACTCTACAATTTATTGCTCAGCTATTAGCACAGCGCCAATGCTTTGTAACAACATCTTATTTCTTATAAATTGAATTGTATAAGCCTGCTAGATGTTGGAAAAAATCTGTTCTGAAGTGTACAGGGCCCTTGACCAAAATAACCAATAACCAGACTGGTTGAGAGAGTGTGAAAGTTGTAGGCTCAAAAGAAGTATTTTCCCAAGACCTACACTACTTGTTCACTTCCTTTTGCTGGATGTTTAAAAACACCCAGCATCTGTTTATAAACATCTGTTTATAATTCAATACCTATATGTTATGTGGGATTTTCTTAGTATTATTCATGTGCCAGAGCTTGTCTACACTGACCCCATGTTCCAGCACTGATCAGAAGTCACTCCTGGATGTCCAGATGCACCTTAGTAGAAGTCAGTGAAACTCTAAAACAGCCCCACACTCCAGGATTAGTGTGGATAGCTGGATTGGTTCTAATTTGAACCGGTCCACTGTCCACATAGCCTGGTGCCATCATCTCTTCTCTGACTTTGCAGCCTAAAAGGAAAAGATCAGGTCGTATTGTCACAGTGACTGTCACCCATGGAGTTCTGGAGAGTTCCTGACTGCTACTGGACATATTTGGTAACATTAGCAGAGGGGCCTAGCGATAGCTAAGATATCTCTAGAGGTCTGATTGGCTACTATGGTGATAGAGATGACAGGCCAGATAAAGGGTGACTATCCAGCAGGGACAAACTGGGTTTGAGTTGATTGCACAGTACGCAGTTCGCTTCCACTGCTCCCATGGCTAAAGAGCTCAGAATCCGGTACTGGTCAGAAGGATGCCCTTGTTCAAAAACCATTAAAAAAATTATATGCACATGTTATGTGTAGTTGCTAATTACATTTCCACTTTGAGTTTTTATTATATTTGATATAACTATTATGTTAAAGAAATATTATCATTGGGTTGTTGTAGGTTTTTTGGGCTATATGGCCATGTTCTAGAAGCATTCTCTCCAGGCATTTGGCCTGCATCTATGGCAAGCATCCTCAGAGGTTGTGAATGCTTTTTTACACAGTGTTGAAACCACTCAACCTTTTTATTGTAAAACACGGATTTAAGATGCAACAGCCGAAATTACTGAAACTTTTATTGTATTTAACCTTTCCCATTCTTCAATCCAAACATTATGTGAGAATGACAGGTTAGTGTCTTTAAGGAAATAGTTATTCCATCACATGTAAAGGGAAGACAAGAGCTAATGAAATCAGAAAAGGATTGTTCTGCTGTATTCTTCTCCTACTTAATGCCTTGCTCCTCACAACATATTCCTCCCCCTTCATTCCTCATTATTTCCCTTCAAATGGATATGACAAAAGGACCTTCATTGAAGAGAAAGTAAAGCAGCCACTCTTTCTGCACATGCCTGTTATGATTTAAATTACACATACTTCTTCACACATTATTGGGATTGTGTTTAATGAGAACTGCTATATTTCGGACCTTAGGAAAGATGGCATGTTACCTACCTGAATAAATAGTGTGCCTTGTAAAGTCTTTATAATATCTGTTATGCTATATGCCCATTTAAAAAAGCTTCTTTTGACACCAGATTCCATGGTGGGAACATATGGTCAGGTAAACTCTTGCTTGATCTACACACATGGCCATGTAGATGGAACAGGTATATTTCCCCGGATACCCATCTAGGTCAGAAACAGCTCCACTACAAATGCTAATGCTTCATCAAGGAGCCATTTCTTCCTGACTACATCCTGTGGTGAAGATGCAGTGCTAAATTGGACATAGTAATTTCCATGACAACCCATGTTAGTTTCCATGGCAACATAAAATTTTCACAACCCATAGATTTTAACTTTACACTACGCTGTCAGATGATGGCAAAAACCAAGATAGCATGATGGATGATTATATTATTTGAGCTAAGTAAAAATTAATACAGAATTAACATTCCCTGTTTAATTCTCCTTTAAAAGATCATATTGGCATTCAAGGCTCTTTTAAAAAGCCATTATTCAGTACATTGGAGGTAGCTGCTTTGCCAGCAAGCAAGAGTGCTCTCATAATGTCTTGTTCCATGTGAATCTGTGAAGTGCCTTTCAGCAGCTCAGTGGATGCTTAATCAAGGCAAGCTTCTTTGTTTTCATAATACAGGGGTTGGATGTACATGAAATAATATTAAAGAAATTTAAACTTATATTCAAATTAAATAGCTTTAATTTTGCATTCTCAACTATGGCCATGATAGAAGGAGGAGGAGGAGGAGGAGGAGGAGGAGGAGGAGGAGGAGGAGGAGGAGGAGGAGAAGAAATGCCATCAAAGCTAGAATTGAAAAGTCGACAACAGACCCCAAATATTGACTCTGCAAGGAAGCAGATGAAACAATAGATCACATCCTCAGCTGCTGCCAGAAGATTGCACAGACAGACTACAAGCAGGGGCATAACACCGTTGCTCAGATGATTCATTGTAACTTGTGCCACAAATATCATCTGCCTGCAACAAAGAACTGGTGGGATCACAAGCCGGAAAAAGTTATAGAGAATGGACACGTCAAGCTACTCTGGGACTTCTGAATTCAAACAGACAGAGTTTTGGAGCACAATACTCCTGACCTCACAATCGTGTTAAAAAACAAAGTATGGATCATCAATGTTGCAATCCCAAGTGACAGCAGGATTGAAGAGAAACAACTGGAAAAGCTGACACAATATGAGGATTTAAAGCTCGAACTACAAAGATTCTGGCACAAGCCAGTCAGGGTGGTCCCAGTGATGATCGACATACTGGGTGCAGTTCCTAAAGACCTTGGCCTGCACTTAAACACAATCGGTACTGACAAAATTGCCATCTGCCAGCTGCAGAAGGCCACCTTACTGGGATCTGCATGCATTATTCGCTGATATCACACAGTCCTAGACACTTGGGAAGAGTCCGACATTGGGATCCAATACAACTGCCAGCAGAGTGTCTGCTGTGGACTCATCTTGTTGTGTTTCAAATAACAATAACAACAACAACAACAACAACGTATTAAGGCCAATATAGTGTAGTGGTTTGAGCATTGACATATGACTCTGGAGACTAGCGTTCCAAATTTTGCTTGGCCATGGAAACACTGTGGACGATCTGTTGTTTCGTTCAGTTTTTTAAAATTACAATTAACCTGTGACTTTTTGCACAGTGGGTGAGCTGAAGAGGAAATTGTGAAAGTCCCATGACTCCTTAGGCAAGGGATACTCATAGGTGGTTTGGCCAGTTCCTATAGAACCTGGTATTCCTTGATGGTCTCCCATCCAAGTACTAACTAGGACTGACCTGCTTAGTTTCTCAGAACAAATGAGATCTGGTGCCTTTACAGTTTTAAGGTCCCCTGTACAATTTTGGCCTATTGAAAGAAATGAGATTAGAGCAGGGGTCCTCAAACCTTTGAAACAGAGGACCAGCTCATGGTCCCTAAATTGTTAGGGCGCTGGACGATAGTGTGAAAAAAATGATCGGATTCCTATGCACACTGCCCATATCATATTGGTAGTGCCAAACATGAAATAACAGTAAAATATATAAAACGAAGAACAATTTTAACCAACATTAACTAACCAGTATTTCAATGGGAAGTGTGAGCTTGCTTTTGGCCGATGAGATAGTCAAGTTAGTTTGGATTGTTGTGTACTTTCAAGTCGTTTCAGACTTAGGATGACCCTAAGTCTAAAGTTTAGGATGGGGGCTGGATAAATGACCTTGGAAGGCTCCATCTGGCCTGTGGGCTTTAGTTGGAGGACATCTGGATTTGAGTTAGCTATTCTTGACTTAAATTCTAGTGGGATTTTTTTTTTTGTCGGGAGCATTCTGTTGTGAGAGAATTGGCCGTCTGCAAGGACGTTGCCCAGGGGACGCCCGGATGATTTTTGATGTTTTATCATCCTTGTGGGAGGCTTCTCTCATGTCCCCGCATGAGGAGCTGGAGCTGATAGAGGGAGCTCAACCGCCTCTCCCCGGATTTGAACCTGCGACCTGTCGGTCTTCAGTCCTGCCAGCACAGGGCTTTAACCCACTGCGCCACCGGGGGCTCCCTAGTGGGACTGAAGAATCAGTTTCATATTTATGTCACTGAGTAGACATGTAGGAGAAAACCATAAAGCACTGCTGATTTCTTACCAATCCATCTCATTGTTGCCAATATGTTTTTAAAAAAATATTTTTCTGTTTTTTAAAATATAAAGTGTGTCACTTTGTGGAAATGTAGCAAGAATGCAAAAATAAAATGACAAAATTTACTTTTTAAATGACATGCTCAGGAACTTTGTAACACAGTCTGCATTTTTCCTGGATGTCTCTGGAATTGCAGCATACATGCTGCCTGATATCAAATGAATATTTATTTTGCGCAAGCTGAATAATAGGTGCATTAAAGAACAGAAATGTGATGTGGTCCTACATCCATAAGAGTTTACAATGAAAATGAATAATGGAATAGTGAAGATAGGGAAAGGTTAACTGATAGTTGACAGCACTGTGAGGGGGATTATTTTAATAGTTAATAGAAATCTATATTACAAGCAGTGGTTTTGGGGGAGGAATGGGAGGGGGTGGCTTGCAAGAGCAAGTGGGTTAGGCTTTTTCTGGCTTACACAGCCATATGGCAGGAGGCGTGAAGAGGAGTGTTGGGAGCATCTGCCAGCAACAGCACATGAATTAGGAGCAGAATGAACTAGAAGGGTAACATCTGAAGATGAAGGAGGAGGTACACATGGGGTTAGACTATTTTGAATTCTCCTCAGCCTTGCTAGATAGTTTTCATTTCCTTAATAATATAATTTATTACAGAATAAAATTAGTGTCAGTAAAAAAGAATATATATATATATATATATATATATATATATATGAGAAAAATATTGAATTAAAAATGGTTAAATGGCCTTTACAATATAACAGATAAAGATAAAAAGGAAAACATTCCCCATTTTAAAAACATATTTGATTGCCCAGAAGGAAAGCAGAGTAGGGACCAAGCCTAGCTTTCTGTTGCAGGCTTGGGAGCAGCCATTAAGAAGTTCGTCTCTTGTGTTCTCCCCAACCATGTCTGTGATGGTAGTAGGACTGAAAGACAGGCCTGTTTCCATGAGGGCAGGGAGCTATTTTGTTGTTCCTTTGCTTGTACAGTGATGGTGCTATATCAATAAAAAAATAAATGCTGATGATATTGATGCAGATCTCCTCATCTAAGGGCAGCTTTCTCCTTCAGGCTGCTCTAGTTCTTTCACTTATTCTTACATGTGTACAGTCTGCCTTCCATTAGGGAACTCTGGAATCAGTTTGAAGCCTGGATGGTGATTACAGAAACCACAGGACACTAATACACAAAATGACTTTCTTTTGCACACGTTTGTGGGAATTTGTTGTCTGGCTACCTCAGTTTGAAGCTAGCCTCAAACTACACTAAATGGTCAGTGTAGATGGGGCTGTTGTTACATTCAGCACACATGGCATCTAAATGAAACTGATTTCAACAATGATGAACATAGCACCCAGGTGAGGTTCTAAATTTGAGCAGTAGAGTACCCGTTTTGCTTGTCAAAGATTAAAGCTGAGCACCTCCAGTTGAAGAGATCAGAGGTACCATAGCGAGGAAGACCATCGGTCAGATTTTTAAAATATTCTATTCCCAGAATTAGCACTCTCTAAGAAAGGCTGTATTGGAAACCTGTCGGTTTAGTACAATGGCTACTGAAGCTATTACTGATGTCTAAATAAATTTAATTATTATTTCATTAAATTGATACATTTTGATATCTTCTTGTCTTGTTCATTCCGGAAGAGTAACATGCTCTACATTTTATGTTTTGTTTCTTTTTGTCCTCTTCCTACCCTTTATTTGTAATTTCTGCTCTTCCATGTATTACAGTTTCACGTGGGTGAATGTTAGAGATCAAGATGTCAATAGATCTTGCTGGAATGAAAGCTATGATTCAATGTTTCCTTCTATTAAGACAGACACCCTCCCTCCAAAGTGTTTAGTGAAGTGAGGTTGCTCATCATGATGTATTAATTCATTTCCAATTGTTGTCAAGTCATTGTTATTGTATTTTCCTTTGTGTAGAAACCTATGTAGCTTTAATCGTAGGCTCCACTGAATAAATGGTTCAGACGAGGAAACCCTCTAACCTTCTTTGTGAATAAATAATCTAGTCAGTATATAGTAACAACTTTGAAGAACTACAGTATATTGTTGTCAGTGAATTAGCACAGAAGGATTTCAGTTTGTAGGGCTTTTTGTATGAATTCATATGTGTAATTACTGCTAACAATATAGTATATTAATATAAGATTCAATATCCAGTGGCGTAGTGGGTTAAACCCCTGTGCCGGCAGGACTGAAGACCGACAGGTCGCAGGTTCGAATCTGAGGAGAGGTGGA